TAACGGTAGGGCTTAGCCTACTAAAATACAAGAAACATTGGGGTTTCCCCAACAAGAAAAATAATTAAATTTAGGCCTTTATTATAAACATTTCTTCGTAAACTGTCACCTAGCGTAGGCTAGCATTTTACTACCAGGCTACTACTATTATAAATATAGACCTAGGCCTACATAGCCTAGGTACGGTAGGGACACTGAACAAGTTTTGAAGTTGTTTAAATCACGATCAAATTCCAAATTTCGCTGAACGCGTTTAACATTTTGCCATTCACGAGCAGTCAGGGGAGGAGTTAACTTCCAAACGGAATAAACGGCTCGAGCGACAAGCTTCCAAACGGCATTTCACAGACGCGTTTGGGAGCTTGTCATATAACAATAGTAAACGTGTTTGACCCGTTTCTGTCGTTGGGGATAATTTGTAGATCACGCCTTACAGGGGTGGCACTAGCGGGGAGGCTGGGGGCCCCGTCAGGGAGAAACACCACAATTCGTCGGGGAGAAAAAAAAATGTACATGTATTTTCTGCATATTAGTAGACCCCAAAAACAATTATATAAGCCTTTGAAACCCCTAAATTTTCATATTTTTAGAGAGATTTTTAAGCCCGCCCACACCTTGGTGTGAGGGGGGGGGACCTTGGACCCCACGTCAGGTAAATATGGCAGCACCACCACTAGGCACTTATACTACAGTGGCGATACAAAACATCAAAGCATGTTAGGTATACATCAATTAAGATTTTATGCAGGGTAATTATAGGAACATGTATACAGGCACTGGCAGGGTAATTATAATCCCACAGATGAACATGAAAGTAATGAAGTAATTATAGAAGTCCCACGGATGAACATGAAATATTGAAAAATTGTTAGTAAAATGAAGAATTCATACAGAGGCTTTGATGATGTTAGTTCTATCACACTAAAACATATATGTTCTGTTATAGCCAATCCTTTATATATGCAGTCTTTTAACGGCAACATAATGTCAATGGCTGCCGAATGTCTGAAATCAGACGGCTACAAGTACCAGTACCAGTACCATTTATTTGTAATTTATCTATGAAAAGTCGTATTTTTCCTGCTAATTTGTGTAAAATGGCGAGAGTTGTTCCAGTTTTTTAAGTCTGGTGAAAAGTGCTTATAGAAAAGTTAGACAGAATTTAAACTAATTTTATCAAACATATCTTGGAACCTACCTGGCATTATGGATGGCTCTATGTCAGTTGCAGTTGGCATTTCTAAAAGGAAAATAATTAATCAAATTTTAAAAATTATTGTAATATAATAATATAATAATTATAATTATTTAAATAATTTAAAAGACGTAGAAACAATTCAAAGAATTGCAGAAACCAGACATGATTGGAGGGAAGCAATCCAAGACATAAGCAGAGCAGCCAGGTGAGAAAGTCATCCGAATATCTGGCGGATCGGCAGTAATGCAAGTAGTAAGTATGTACTAAATAATTTGATCACTATCATAAAGGGGAAATTACATTAAAGAGGTTCTTAACAAAATTGGCTTTTTGCTTGATAACTTTTGAATACTGTATATCAAAACCATGCTGTATACTGAATGACCTTTGACTTATATTATTACTGTATTATTCAAATAAACGCCCCACTTTGAATAATCTCTCCCTCCTGAGCCTCTATTGGATTAAATGCTTCCCTCAAATATAATTCTCAACAATAAGTGTATGGCAACTGTAACCATACACACCTGGCAACCTCTCCATGAAAGTAGTTGGTGTTACTGAAAGGCAAAATTACATTAAGGCGAATCTTTAAAAAAATGGCTGTAAATAAAAAAAAATCGGCTAATATTGAATAAACTTTTACTATCATGTGTTTACTTGACGTGCTAAAAGAGAAAATGACTATAGTAACATACACTGATATAAGCTGGACTTATTAGAAAACTAGATAATATGTTTGATAAAATTAGTTCATACTCTGTCTGACTTCAGAGTATAAACTGATTTTATCAACCATATCTGGGAACCTACCTGATATTATAGATGGCTCTATGTCAGTTGCAGTTGACGTTTCTAAAAGGAAAATAATTATTTAAATAATTTCATCACTATCGTAAAGGGAAAATTATACTGAAGAGATTCTTATTAAAATTGGCTTTTTGCTTGATAACTTTCTGAATACTGTATAACAAAACCATGTGCTGTATACTGAATGAACTTTGACTTATATTATTACTGTATTTATTCGTATAAACGCCCCGGTTTGACTAAACGTCCTCCCTCGAATAATCTCCCCCTCCATAGCCTCATTTGAAATAAACGCTTCCCTCAAATAAACACCCCTCAAAAATAGTTCTTAACAATAAAAGCCGTGGGGTGCTTTTACTAACAAATACAGTATGTGTTTACTTATACATGCTGAGAGAAAATGACTATGGTAACATACAATAATATACAACCTAGATTTAATAGAAAATTAGACAGAGTATAAACTAATTCCATCAATACTGAATAAACTTGAACTTTTAATATTGTGTTTACTTGACATGCTAAAAAAGAGAAAATGACTATGGTAACAAACGATAATACACAAGCTAGATTCAATAGAATAGATTCAAATAAAAACTAATTTCATCAAACATATCTAGGAACCAACCTGGCCTTACAGACTTCTCCATGAAAGTTGCAGTTGATGTTTCTAAAAGGAAAATAATAAATTATAAAAATAATAAATAATTATTTAAATAATTTGACTATATTGGCTTAAAGGGAAAATTATATTTAGGCGGTTCTTAATGAAATTGGCTTACTTAATATCTTTTTGAATTATGTATATCAAAACCAGGTGCTGTAACACTAAATAAAATAAAATTTTACTATTATGTGTTTAGTTGACATTCTAAAAGAAAATTAATATGGTAACATATAATAATATAAGCTAGATTTAATAGAAAAGTCAGACAGAGTATAAACTAATTTTATCAAATATATCTAGGAACCTACCTGACATTATAATTTGCTCTATGTCAGTTGCAGTCGGCGTTTCTAAAAGGAAAATAATTCTTCAAATTTTAAAAATTATTGTAATATAATAATAATATAATAATTATTTAAATAATTTAAAAGATGTAGATACAATTCAAAGAATTGCAGAAAGCAGACATGATTGGAGGAAAGCAATCCAAGACATAAGCAAAGCAGCCAAGGCAGGATAGTCATCCAAATACCTAGCGGACCGGCAGTAATGTAAGTAGTAAGTAGTAAATAATTTGCTCACTAATGTAAAGGGGAAATTCTATTAGAGGTTCTTAACAAAATTGGGTTTTTGCTTGATAACTTTTGAATACTGTATAACAAAACCATATGCTGTATACTGAATGAACTTTGATTTATTATTACTGTATAAATGCCCCGCTTTGAATAAACTCCCCCATCGAATAATCTCTTCCTCCTGAGCCTCAATTGCATTAAACGCTTCCCTCAAATAAACGCCCCTCAAAATATAATTCTCAACAATAAACACCCTGGGGTGCTTATTCTAACAAATACAGTATGTGTATACTTACACGCTAAGAGAAAATGACTATAGTTACATACAATAATATACAAGCTAGATTTACTAGAAAATCAGACTGCGTATGAACTTACTTTATAAACTTTTTAACTTTTACAGTTATGTGTTTATTTGACATGCTAAACAGAAGAAAATGACTATGGTAATATACAATAATATTAATATACCAGCTAGATTTAATAGAAAAGTCGAAGTATAAACTAATTCTATCAAACATATCTAGGAACCTACCTGACGTTATAGACGGCTCTATGTCAGTTGCAGTGGACGTTCCTAAAAGGAAAATAATTATTCAAATAATTTGATCATTATGGTAAAGGGGAAATTATATTAGAGAGATTCCTAATAAAATTGGCTTACTTAATATCTTTTTGAATGATGTATATCAAAATCATGTGCTGTAATACCGAATAAACTAAGCTTTTACTATCATTTGTTTACTTGACATTCGAAAAGAAATTATTATGGTAACATACAATAATATACATATGCTAGATTTAATAAGAAAAGTCACACAGAGTATAAACTAATTTTATGAAACGTATCAGGAACCTACCTAGCCTTATGGACATCTCTATGTCAGTTGCAGTTGACGTTTCTAAAAGGAAAATGATTATTTAAATAATTTGATCTGCAGTTGTAAACAACTTGTTTTGCTCATTTTGTATAGTCAATCTTCAACTACAACAATTGATTACCAATTGATTTTTAAAATATCTGAATATACCCTATATAGGCAATGTATTATGATTTTATGTAAAAGTCTCTCATGTGATGTATATTATATATGTTTCATCAGTGAAATGTGATGGGTTTTGTTGACATGAATTTGTTACTGATACATGCTAAAATGAAACTTAGTCAGCTGTTTTTAGTATAGGCACAAGGCCAACGATATGCCAATAGCAAACCTGTCATTAAGTGCCAACCAATTCACAAGACAAACATAAATAAAATGGTTTACATAAACTTAATTCTCAAAATGAGTTTTATATTAGGGAGTGGAGTCCTGTTACCATGACAGGAAATGAACCAAGGACCATGGGATTGGAAGGCAAGCATATTAAGCTACAGATTTTATGTGCAGGTTTGATTGAATTCAGTATCAGCAGACACTTTTTTTTAATACAACTGAAAAAGGAAGATTTCATTGAAGAGCTACACCTGATATGATTATAACATCATGTTCTTATTTAAGCACTGTTATTATTATTTATTTGTTTAAATAAACCTATGCAGCAAATTCAATGAGAATTTGATTTGATGAGAATTACAATATACCTGTTGATGAATCAAGACTTGCATCGTCAGTGGTTTCCTTATCAATGAAAAACATATAAATGTCAGTTGGTTTAGTTATTTAAAAAAAAAAAATTAGTATACATGACTATTTGTTATAGTATACAAATATTGACTGCTCATGAGGGAATGGTGAAATCTATGGCTCCGAGTTGATGTGGAGAACGTAGATATGCTGTCTCCGCATCTTCGAGGGGTTATAGATTTCACCTTTCTCCGAATCTAGAGCAGTCAATATTTGTTTTATATACCCCTTATACATAGATTCTACGAGACTTAAAAAAGTAATTAAAATAGCACACCAAGCAGGCCTAGGCTTACTTTCTAGGCGTTGGCAGTCAAAGGGCCAATCTCTCTCAGCGTCGTAGAGGTCGCGTCTCCTTTACCGTTCGTGCGTCTCATGAATTACATAGCAACGCAGCCTGCGATTGCATATCCCGCGACAGGGCAAAAAATTTATATCCAATGGGAAACAGTACTTTCATTTTGCCAGCTTTTTAACCAATCAGATGCCTAGAATCTATGTATGTGGTATATAATAAACATTATACTTTATGCAACATTTATAGATTATATTTTGGTATTAAATTGAGACGCATTACATACTGTTACTGCGGTAGCCTACTCTCTGATAACAGTTTAATTACGGTTTACTGTATAATTTAGGAAAAAAAACCTTTGCATTTGCTTTTGAGGGTTTGCGTTTTAGCGATGTCTCTACAAACGATTCCACAAGTGCTTGTTCATGAAGCTGTTTTGCTTGTCCTATAATAAAGAAAATTACATCATTATTAATACAAACTTATACACAAATTTATATGTTAGCTTTATCAATGAGAGTATTGCAACATAACTGACATATAAAATTAAACTACGAATGCTAAATATTTCTCACCAGTATTCAGGAAAAAATTATAATTTTAAGTTTGGCAAAGTACGACATATATTGACTTAATATATTTTATCAAATGTGTAGTTTTACCATTATGGAGGTATTATTGAGAAGGAGATCACTCGGCAACAGATCCTTTGACGCGACAAACCAATGTGTTCCCCAACTTTGGATTTTGCACGGGATTACCCTATAATTCACATTTTTTCGTTAGCAACAACTTGGCAACGGCATGCGTTTATACCCTTCAGCACAGAAGTTGTGCGATAAAAGCATTTGATTTTAACCCATTAAATATCTTTATAATGAACAATGTTACCCTGATTAGATTTTTCTGGACTTTTAGTATGTTATTATGTGTATATTTCAGGAATAGATTCCTCAAAATATTCCTGTTAAAATTACTTCTGTGTTCATTATAATTTTGTCTAAAGATTGATTGGTTCGACTATAAAGCTAAGGCAGTGTAAAACTGAAAATTACTGATTTTGGATTGAGTTTTCAAATAGTTAACCCTCGTTAACCCTAAAATGACTTAGTTTATTATAATCCTCCATCATTCCTTAATTAATATCTGTTGAAATTAGAATTATTGAGTTTTATCCAATTTATGGAAATTCAAGTTGAAATATACCATACTTTTAAAGCTGATGTAAATGTTTCATTAAAATTCGAAACTCTTTTTCTTAGAAAATATTTATGTTTGGTATTTCTTGAAAGATCAATGTATTAGCTTCATTGTGGAAACTATTGCGCAGCCATAGATATTGACTGTAAGTAACGTGCGCAATGAGAAAAAAACATGCTCTCTTTTTCGCCATGTTCAATTTTTTGGTAATCTAAGCCTGCTGAGCATTTGGTAGTGGGGAACACATTAGACTTCAAAGGCATCGCACGAACGTTCTTCACGCGCTGCGGCAGCTTTGTTCTTGGTTCACTTGCATAGCACTGTGTGTGCGTATGTTTTTTTCGAGTGATCTCCTTCTCAATAATACCGCCATGGTTTTACTCATTCATAACTTTTGCATTTTGTTTTAAAGATACCTATTATCAGTATTCAGGATTTTGAAAAGTGCTAATAGAAATATTACTACAAAAGGTGTACACTAGACATGGAGCACTCTTACCAATTGATAGACTACACCATAAATTGGCTGCTTTGCTTTTGTTGCAAACTTACTTTGCCATTTATTTCCATTAATTTACTATTATTTGTTTTATTTAATGTTTGAACAAAATGGGATGGGAGGGAGAGGGGGATGGGGAGGGGGCATGCATTTTACATCAATGAACACAATCTGATGTAACACAAATTTCTTGAAAAATTAATTACTTGTATTATAATCTATATTTCAAACATATTCCAATATATTTAAATCATTTGTACCTACCTTCTTGAGAAATGACTGTCCATGTATCATTAGGTTTGATACGACATAGCTTAGATATCACTATACCATCAGTGCTCGGTTCATGGATATTGAAGCTTAAAGAGATGAATGTTACATAAATAAATTATTTTATTTTATTTTTGTATTTAATAAACTTCTAACAAGACAGTGACGGATACGAGTCAACACGTCATGTCAAAAACAGCTTGCTCCACTGAAATACAAAAATAGAAGTATATAAACATATAATGCATAAAAACCCTAGAGATACTATAATTAAAACTAACAAACACCAACAGACCTACAATGAAATTTATAAATAGAGGTGAAGAATGTCAACAACTTGAGAAAGATAAACAAATACTACTACTAATAAGAATTAAGAAAAATCAGAAAAATAAATAAATAAAAAAAAATAATATGTGATATAAATACTTAGCTTGAATATGGATAAAGTAGAAGAGTATAGACATATATTAATTGGTATTGTGATATTATTGTAGTATTGGATTCTATTTGCAGTGCCACCTGAGGTGTATGACTTGTATGATTGTCAGCCTACAAGGGATACTAGCCCAAGGTGGGAGCATGATATGCCTAGTAATTTGTGATTTAATTTTGAAGGTGCTGCAGGAGCTAGCTGACAGTATTATGCTTAAAAGAAATTACAAAGGTAAACAAGCAGAGATATAAATTAATGGAATAATAAGGCAATTCTTTGAACATTTGTTTGAATACATATAAGTTATGAGACATAATTTAAATAGACCTAATTAGAAATTGGTACCAGTATGATTGGAAATGATTTTGATTGATGCGCATTCAATAATTATTATAATATTAACAAATTTGTGTTGTAAATTTTATTTTTGTACATCACGTATAAAACACATAGTCATAATGCCCGAGTCAACGTTTTCAAGTCCACCTTTGGTGTGACTTGTAAATAATAGAATGTTGATAATAAAGCAAAATATTGCAGACAATTAAAGAGAACAGTAACTTAAATAATCTCTAATAGCATTAGTGGTCATAATATCAAAAGTGCCTAGTCTTTCCTCAGATGACTTGTTCAATTGAATTTATTTGATATAAAATAACATCTAAGACTTATATAAAAAAGACAAGGAAAAGAAAATAAAATAATAATACTTTAATGTACAATCAACCGGGATACTCTTCTTTAAATTTCCTCATTCATCTACCACACATAACAACTCTTATTTGGCTATTGCCCTACCAACACCCAATTTTTTATTGCACGTTTTTGAGACTTTGTGAACTTGTTTTGACCAAGAGAGGTCATGGGATATTAAAACTCAAAGGAACTTTAAGTGCATAACCAGTACTATAACTTGACCATTAGAAGATGGAGATTTCCTTCTGTCAATAGCTAGAACATTAAATTTTGTAGGGCTTAGTGCAAGTTTATTTTTAAATAAATAAAAATAAATAAAATAAATAAAAGTTAAAACTTTGACCACTTCAAAAACATATGCTTATTGTTTGATTTTCAAGCGTATTCAGATCATTCCCATAGATATTAAATAGAAGGGGTACGATAGTAACTAAGCACCATTCAGATTCAAAGCCATGAGTGAGTGCCATTTCCGACCATCTGGAGTTAAGTACCATAATCATAATCATATGGTTTGGTTTTCAAGTATGTATTCAGATCATTATAATTCACTTATAGACATTAAATAGCAGGGGTACCATTGTAACTATAGCACTATTCAGATTCAAAACCATTGAAAAACACCCTTTGTTTGCAACCAGACCAAAAAGAATCAATCCATTTTAGGAGAACACCACCACCGCTAATACCATATGTTTTTGAGGGCTTATTAATACTAGGATTTGATGTGAGTTGGAATCAAATAATGCCCTCTATAAATCAAGGGCAATAACATCAAACTGTGGTGCACCATTATCTAAAGCTTTAATTCAATTAGTAGCCTCTGCCAATGCTATACCACAACATATTCCTGAGAAGCCCCAGGTGAGGGGAGGGTTAGGGGATCCCACCTCCCGTCACCCGGAAGTGTACCCTTCATTTCAGTGGCATGATCCAGCAGTGGGCGAAAGGAGAGCCAGATTACTTTACCATTTGATACCATCTAATCCAAAATTGCTTTGTTGATACATAAGAGCATATGTGTCACTGTCATTGACAGCTGTAGAACACATATATTATATCCAGTGTGGGTGGGGATGCCAAGCTGGCCAGGACCCCTACATTTGTCAATATTTTTCTAAAATGCTGATAAAAATTTCATTTCCATTTCAAATTCCTGGATCCGCCAATGATATTTCATTTATTTTGTTATTTAGAATATGACAAACATGATTTAATATGAGCACATCTAAAATTCCACAATGCAGTTGGCGGCAAGGACCCAACAAAGGAAGTCTCAAAAAGCCATAGGGTCCCTGGTCCCAGCGATAAGCCACTGCATGTGCTTGAAAATGTCTTATCAAAAATTGGTGCTTTACTCTATTTATCCTCTTATTAGGCCTAAACCTTTGATAATATAATGCATGCAAACCAAATGGTTGATTTGAGCACTAGAGTACGCCTCTCACAGATCCACGTCTCGGACTATGTTTGTTCTAAGTTTAGAGTTTTGCAACTCCCAGAATAGAATAAATTATAGGTTCTCGATTTTGTAGAGGAACACTGCTGAAAAAGCATTTTTACCATCTGGGAGTACCATTTCCAAGCGTCTAGAGGGCCCTGTTCTTAAAATTTGCTCACCTCAGCCCTAACCTTGGAGAGGTTGAAGTCTGTGTGGACCCAATATTGTGCTCCCCGTCAGAAAATTTCTGGATCCGCGCCTGAACCTTATATAAAAAGTCCAAATTCATTAAGGTGAATTGTAGTTTGTCAGTAATGATGCTCTCAAGAACTTGAAAAAGATGTCCAAGCAATCAATCTGAAATTGTGAAGATTCTACTTTGCCAAGTTAATAATTTGAGCCAGTAACAGTGATAAGGTTCAGCACAAGTTTTCAACATAGAGACAAACACCATTGGGAAAAGCTGTCTTGACGACAGGGAGTTTCATGATTTTCTTGAAGACAGTAATTACTGAATGAATATGAACGTTGGTTAGAATTGTTATTTTAAGCCTGTTGATGTGAGCTTTTGTGTGAAATAAGATTCAAAAAGTTAAAAAGCATTCCCAATTGTCTTGGGATCAGAACAAACTGTGTCAATCTCAAATGAGGAACATTTGACAGACTTTTTTTTTTTAGAACATATTGCCAGAATTGCTTTGTATCAGGTTTCATTTAATATACTGTGAGAACAATTGGTGGCATGCTTAGTTCTATTAAAATTTTGCCTGACTGTGAACTGCTTGAAAAATAAAAGGTTGTGGCTTCTTCGGGGGCCGCAGTAAAAGCAGAGGGAAATGTCAAGAGTCAAAATATCTTCTACAAGGAGGTACTCATAAACAAAAGTTCAGAGAGGAATATGGCTTACAGTAACCCATTTACCTAGGGCTCAAAATGGTGAGGGAGATAAGGAATCTTGTGTATCTAATGATCGATGTCCCATCTTAACTCTCAATTTGAAAGTGTTGCTTCCTGGTGCCCAGATACACTAGCTTTGTAGATGCTTTTACATTAGATTAGCAACCTCACAATTTCTAAGACTATCCTCCCTTCAACTAATTAGGAGGATGTCAAGATAGATTTGCACAGGGTGACTGAAATAATTACAGTAATGTTCAGTGATTTTGACTCTTCTACCATCAAATCAACTGCATCCACTTCGAAAGAAATTCGAGCTGAATGACTGCCTATCGTGTGGAGAAACTTTATTCTCTCTTTCTCAGGCAATAATATATGACTTATCTTCTAGCTTACGAAAAAACACAGCCCAGCGGGCGCCGCAACAGGGCGAGCAACCAACGTTTTTCACTTGATCTATGTGGTTGTGGCGTCATGTAAATAACCTGTACAGAATAACCCGGAAACCAGGGGTTCTCAACTTTTTAAAAGAAGAGCGCTAATTGGCTGTAGACACGGCGCTTGGACTTTTTTTTGTATGCAATACGATTGTTCTACGCCTGCATTTATTAAATGAATAATAAAGTTATAAAAAGAAAATGTGGGTGTCAGTGTCTTATTTTATGGGAGGAAATAATGAAATGGTAGATTAACGTTAGATTTGATAAATAAATTCCATTCATAATTAGGGGGTTCATTAAATTACGATATGAGGGTGGTGTATTCAGAGATGAATAAATCATGCACCTATCGATATGCCGACAAGTTACGCATTGGGCAGAGTTTTCTCACGGCTGTAGACATAAAGTATGATCGCCGTGTTGAATGTCGGTGTATTCAAAGCACACTATCTGTAGTAGAGATTGCTGATAGTGTACAGCAAACCGTCTAAGACCGAGTGAATAAACTCTAGCCCGCGCCTAACGATTATTTCTTGACACGGGTGTGTGTTTTGTTCATGAAATAGGAACTTTATTTATGACAACAATTACATGATTTTACGTTCCTAAAATCGGGAATTCGTAAAATCGTGGTTCGTAAATGAGGGGTTCTACTGTACAATAAAATATTTTAAAAATCAACAAAATAAAATAACATTATACATTAAAACTGCTGACCATACGAACAAAAAGCCAACGAGAATGATTTAAAACTGTATATTAATTGTTCTCTTATACTAATGTACTTGTCAATTGTAGTCCCCCCACCCCCCCACTCCCGGTCCCAGGTTATAGCAAGGTACTAGCCGCAACTGAGCCGGGAACGTACACATAGTTGCGTCCCTTTAGTGCGGGGACGTACCTAAAATTTACCCGGTAGATATAACTGGCCTCGAAAGGGCCAGGAATTTTACATGTTAGAGTAGCCAGGGTTTTAGGTGTAGTGCTGTCAAATGGCACTGGGTCTGGTCCTACCTAGCCTACACTTGGCATTCAGCAATTGCTGTGTGTTTTGGTAATTAAAAAATCGCCTACTGGTACTCTAAGCCTACCATCATGGTTTCATTTTTTTTATAGATCAAGGTATAAATTACATTAAAAATTCAAACCTCCAATCACACAACAATGAAGACCGCCGATGTGACGTGATTGTGTTGCGTGAAAATGTGTAAACAGTGTATTTGACCTAGTTTGCGTCAAAAAATACACCAGTGAGCCAAGGAGGTATAAAAATTATTTTTATACCTCCTTGAGTGAGCCAAGACAAGGAAATCTGTTTCTACTACAGTATATGTAATAATTTTCTTATTTAATTTCTGTCTTGATATTGAATAAATTCTATCAATCAGATAAAACAATACATCCATTTTATTTTTATTTTTCTATGATCAATCATGGGGGGGGGGAGGGGGAGGACTAAGTACTACAATTGACAAGTACATAATAGGAAGAGATTACTATAGACGAGGAAAATTTATATAACAATGAGTATTTAAAAGAGTGGCAAATTTGTGTTTTTTTAAATTAGGGAATCGGAATATCAGGGATTAAAATTAATAAAATCATGTATATTAAGATCAGCTTGTCCATAAATTCACTTAAAATAAAGAATGCCAAAATATTTCATTCTGTGATCCATAGTGGCTAAATCAAGTTGTTCAAGTCTTCAAAATCTCCCTAGTTTAGTAATTCTACGTTAAAGGTTTATTTATAAAAATTATATCCTGTTTTTAGGTGTATTGTGAATGGATTTTACTTTCTCCATCAAAAGGCTTCTTCTATGAATGGAATGATGTGTTCGAAGCACAAACTCCTGTAGACCAACCCAGTACCGTTACGATTTTTAATCGTACGGGAAATCCACTCACTCACGTGCAACAAAGCGCTCTATAAGACCAACAATCTGTATAGATTTTGTGGTAACTAATGATAAATGTTTTGACCAGGATAAATAACTACCGAAGTGAATGCCAAGATATTTGCGTGAAGAAATGGACTGAAGCTCAGTAGAACGGATAACATTTGATTAATCTTTCTTTTATGGCTGGTGAAATACTTGGCATTTAGTAGCATTTAGTTTCATTTTGTTCTTTTCACACCAATCTGCTATACTATTAAGGTTTTTTAAAGTAGAAAACTATCCTCAATGCATAATAGATCAAAACTAGTGTTATCAGCATATTTTGTTTTGAATATCTTATGGCATAAAGCTCATTAAGAATTTTTTTCTCTGAATAGTGACAACAGGGGAACTTTACCCCTGATCTTCATTGTGAAATTCAAGACCCATTTTCAAAAACATTTCCCCTTGTATAATCAGTAAAATCCACCAAGGATTCTATAAATATTAACATACAAAATAGACTACATCCCTGGCACAGGTCTATTTTCTATGATTGTATCAACAGTAAAACTGCAACTAACCTTTCAGTATGTAAAATAATCTTTCCCTTTCTGCAGATTTATGGTAATCTGAATATTCTCTACATTCATGTTTTTGGTAGATGTCGGCAGCAGTTTCACCAAACTAAATTTTGTTGATCAAAAAGCAAAAAAATTTACGATTTTCGTTATGTAAAGACAAAATTGATAATGAAGAAAGTATTTATAAATTACATATACATATTCAGTAATTCGTCCAGATGATAATAATCATGAGATCATGCCTATGTGATATTATCTCCACTATAAGTTTAGAACAGTATTGGATTAGTTTTAATACATTTTGAATACAGTGTTCTATAATTTGTTTTAACAATGCACTATTAGAAAGCTACATGTTTATCGAAATGAACTTCTAACATTTTTTTTAAACAAAAGACATGCTTCAGTTTTCCTTTAATAGAACAATGCTGGCTCCAAAATGATCAGCATACAGTATGTTTGCTCAGGAAACCAAAAACAGTATGTAGAGGAGTGTTGCCATGAAATTAATTAAAATATAAAAATTATACCTCCACTATAAATTTAAGACAATATACCTCATACTGTTATTCATAAATTTGAAGTACAGTGTTAAAAAACTTTGTTTCATGGCAATATTACACCAAAAGAGATCTAAATAGTGTTCATCAAAATAGAATAAAATGCATATCTTACATTGTTTTTAAGAAACGACAAGTTTCTGTCTTTGTTCAATAGAACATTGCTAACTTCGAAATGCTGTGAATATGTTCGCTTGGGATCCATGAAACAGTCATGTAGAGGAGTGTTGCCATTCTAAAACACATACATTAAAGAAAATTTATATTATATTTAAACAAACTACATATTGATACTGTAGGTATGTATTGCACTACATACAATCCATTAAAATGCTTTATCTGTATATATGAATACTGTCCACAGAAAAATGTATTAAATTTAAAATAAAAATATTTAAATGAATCTTAATAGTATGTTAACATCAACTTTTATTTTTGAAAATTGGATGAAAGAACTTGATAATTCTAATTGAAACATGTATATTGTTCAAAGAAAGACTGAGGATTACAAGTCAGTTCTAAGTGTGAAAACATGTAGATTATAAAACTTCAATCAAAATGTGAAGTTTTTAAGTTTTATTCCGACCTGAATAAGAATGTACACAAGTCGGGTCTGCCTAAAATTGATTGAGCATTATTGTCAATATTTATCTATTTGTTTATATGCAGCAAAACCTAATTTGAGTATAATATTATTTACTATGTAAACAAGCTAATCCCAGGTTTACTAGCACTAGAGTACCCATTTTCAAAATGATATTCTTTCAGAAGGTGTCAGTGTTATTGCAACAATTCCTTGCAATATTATCCAACACTAGCATACCTGTGTTCCGCACAGTGTTGAATGAGTGGGGAGTGGCGATGAATATACAGGAAGTTGAGGAGGCAATCGTTGTGGATGTTATGGTTACCATGTCATTATATTTCTAAAGAACGTCTCTTGTTTTTATTGTCTTTGCTGAATAGACCTTGTGGGGAGTTATTATGCAGTTTGATCAAAGGTGGATCCAGAATAGCCATATTGACCCGATCCAAATCGCCCCAGATTCATGAGAGAGCGGGTAAGCCCTAGGCTAGGCGCTATGCCAGCTAAACTAAACCTGAGCCTAGGGTCTATCTCTTATCATAGGCTATGCTAGGCCTGCTTAGCAGGGCTATGCTAACCCGGTAGGCCGAGCTTCATAGTGGCAGCAATAGGATATAATTTATTGGGAGGGGGGGGGCCCGA